TTCTATTTTTAATCGTTGAAAGTTACCGACTACTCACAAGTGAGTAGTATCTCACAACACAGTATGGAATATATATATATGTATCACCTCATTTAAAATTCGGTGATTCTGGATGGACAGCTTTTTTCTGTCCCATTTGCTTTGTTCCATGACAACCAATCGGAATGACGACAGGCAAGCTAAGGTGATTGGCTGAAACCGCCAGCCAATTAAGAAGGTTGACAACAATCCAATCAACCAATTGTTTGATATATACATTCCCTATTCTTTCCTATAAATAACCATGTTTTTCGCTAATAAATGAATTCCTACACGTTTCCAGGTGTGTTCTGTTTCACTATCTGTGGAGTTCCTATCTGGACGAGAAACGTTGGCGGAAGGAGATCCTTTCAGAATACAGTACCGAGTTAAAATAATGTGCGGTTACAACACCATTCGTTGAATAATCAATTCTATGATTCGATGTTTTGTAGGTGGATTACATAATATTGGAAGTAACAAACGTAACTTGAGCGTCTTCACAAAATATTTTTCCTGGGCAAAAGTGTATGAATGAACTGACAAAAGATTACCGGATACGTGAGCTTGACTAGCGGCAGGAACCGCGAAACCGGTTTTGCTTGCAGGGAAATTTGGTTGAGTCATTCACATACTATTTGTTATGATATTTATGTATCACACTTGTGTAGTGAACAACAGGCTGGGTAAACCACATAGTCACATAAAGAACGGCTATTCTGTGATAGAAACCCCTTAACCTAAGACCCGGGACTTGGAGTGGTGAACAACACAAGACCCCCACTGGGTCAGGTGTGGTGTGGAACCGGTCGACATCCAAGTTTCGCGCCACCAAATTTGGGTGGCGGGACCAAAGCACGCTGGTGACAGTGACTAAACCGTTGCGCCATCGTCATCGCCCTTTACGCTTACTGGCTACGGACCTCAGAGTCAAACATGCAGTGATACGGCTGAGTGTGGTAAAGTGGTGCTCGTGCATCTACTCACTGTTCGCGCAACCTTAGTCCACTTGAATTGTCTATTTTCACCTGGACACTGCTTACAACACTCAAAGCTCCTGTCCGACCCTTCATCCAAATGGGCTGCCGAAAGACGGTAACTGTAACCACCGCACTGAAGTGCATTGTTAGTGGTTGTATAAACTGAAAATCAAACTGAGGTCGGTACAGCATGGATGGAATTCTCTTCACAGTATTCCATTTTTTGACCTAGAAAGATGTAACAGGAAGAACAGACTAAAACTGCACCTAAGAACTACACTAAAGGATTACATAAGAAAATCCTAACAACTGTGGAACCCATTGCAATCAGGGTCATGAAGCCGGAGTTGTGCAAGCAACGTAATCTGGTTCAAGTACTGCTGTTACCATGGCCATAAGAACAATTGCCCATATCTCTCCCTTCCCGCTAACTCCTCATTTATTGTCTTTTTCGCAAACTTTCACACCCGATTTATACATTCTTGATTAACATCTTTCATCTCGTGTCCAATTCACACATTCGGCTTTTCTCTGTCCAATTATCGTAACCCCAT